CCGGAGCCGGGCGCCTCCTGGCGGCCGGGCTGCCCCCGGGCTCCTACGCGTCCCTAGGTAAGGGAGACATCCTCACCTTGAGGGCTTTGTCAGGGAGTTGCAGGAAAGCGCTCCTCCCTGGGAAGAAATTGTCATTTCAGTAGTGCTGGGATGGTGCAGAGGAGCAAGTGACCAGCTTAGCGAGATGTTCTGTTTGTCTGGTGCTGGGAGAGTGCCAGTGCAGGGTGTCCATAGCGTGGTCTCTACATTTGTCAATCTGGAGTTAATACTAAACGCTGGATGGAGTGGTACCCTCGCTTAACAGCAGATGGTAATCATGGCTTTTTGTTTCTAGAAGTGAGTGTTAGGCCTCTAGGATTTTCTCAGCTCTTTAGCTGACTGTTTTACAACAATGCTAAAGAGACATACTGGCAATAAGTGGTAGCATCTTCACACAATGCAAGTATTTTTTACACAATGATACACGACATTGATTTCATAGATTTTTTCTTAAGCATGTTGGTGGAACTGTGTGGATGTTTTTCATGTAGGTGACAGTCTTCATTGATAAGAATACTTGCTGTTGGACACAGAAGGTGCTACAACTGTTAAGAGTGCAGAAGAGTATTGGGTGGTGTTGATGGTAGGTGCTAGAACCTCCACTAAGTGGGAAAGGTAAAGGAATACGGGCAGGGTTTCGTGTGTTTAGGTTATTCATACTGTAGGAGCAGCAATGGGGGAAGTGAGATTCAGTGTTCACAAAACTGTTAGCTTTTTCTTCTTGGTTGTGTGCCAGCGAGACCACCGAGGAGGCATGTCCTAATGTCAGTATTGCTGAAGATGATCACAAGAGAGGCAGAGAAACCAGATAGTTGTTCTGATTTACCTTGTGTTTGGGGAGATGTTAGGATACACTGAGGCTATGGTGTCCAGAGTTTCTGGTTGTGCTTTTTAAAGTTAAAAACTATTTTAAATGAGCTGATTCTTTTTTCATCAGGTCCTACCTGAACTGATGTGAACACCACTGATTTTAGGATTAAGTTCATGAGTGTGTGCAATGCTGACAGTGCTGCTTGCAGTAACGATTTTGGGTGTGAGGTCCCTCTAGTGCCCACGGAGGGGAATTGGAGAAGCTAGAGAGCAGGCGGACACCGAAGTTTGCTGGAAGGAGGAGAGGTGCTTGTGGTTATCGCTCGAAGAATCCTCAGGTCTTGCTAACGTAATGCGTAAAAGCCTGAAATTGGAGGGATGATTATTCTGCAAGATCAGATCGTTGCCTGCTCTGTTTTGATTTGCAACGGGACATACTCTGAATGTCAGACAAAGCTGGTGTTGAGAAGTAAAAGTGACACACAGCGTGGTGGTAGAAGAAAGGAAAAAAGTAAAAGAAGGAGAAATCTCTCTCTGTTAACCTGTCTTCTTGATGCTGCTGAAATGAAGGGACTGCTTTGGTCTTTAGAGTTTCACAGAAAGTTAGCTCTCGATTGGGATATTGGTTTGCTTTCAGAACATTTTCAGCAGTATGGGATTCATGCCCAGGATTTTGTAAGCAAGGGTTGAGAGAGGGCACAGAGGTTTTCAGGGAAGTGAATAGTGGTGGGTTTATGTAGGGGAAAAAGCAGAAATAAAGACATGGCTTATTCTCTTCATAGTTTACGGATTTGGTGAGTGAGGGTGGGGGAGCAGAATAAGCAGGCAGTACGTCCAGGTCAGATTCTTTTGAAGGATTTGAGTAGCTGGAAAGCAGATGCTATCATGTGTGGAGAAGAACACAGTGGTGGTTTGAAATGACACAATAATGTGATACGACCAATGTACAGTAAAGGCAGTATAAGGGCAGTGATAGTCAAGGAGGCCAAGATTTGTTTGCAGTCACACAGACACAGTACTGCTTGATGGAGCTTGGCTTATTCTCCTAATTGTATTTTTAATAATGGTAAGGTAATTAAATTACATACATAGAGTGTGACCTATGTACGGAGTGTGACTGTTGTATGTTTGTATGGATTAACCACACAATCCACCTCAAAATATTATTTGCCCTTAGTTTTCAAAAGGTAACCTTAAAATAATGGTGTGTGGATCCAAGCAAGTGCGTGTTTCAGAAAATGGACTGTTCATAGCAAGGGGGTTGTTTTATACTAGTCCAAATGTGGAAACTTAAGTGACAGAATTGTCAAGATAATGCTGACCATGTTGCTAAAATGCCTAGAAGATGTTCCTGTATTTCCACGCTGCTTTCCAGATCTCAGCTGTTCCAGTCAATACCAAAATAAGAAATATTGTCCCCTGAAGCTTGGGTTGATTTTCACCCTTCCTTACGGAGAAGCATCTCTACCTTTTGCTTAAAGAGCTACCAGATTTAGAGCCTCAGAGGACCACAAGTTCATGAGCTTAGTACTCTATAGTTGTCTCTGCCTGTCCCGTTTTTATTATTAATAGAAGAACTCCTGCTTATTTATGATTTATTTTTATAAAGACTGTTCTAGAAGCAGGAGGACATTCTCTAGTTACTCTAAAGTTGACTGTCTCTGACATAGTCGAGTATTAATGTCCTTCTTGAGCAGATTGGAGCTGTAATTATATTTCTGTCAAGCTGAATAGTTTGATTTTGGTTGTTCCTGTCAGAATACATGTGTGCTACCTTCCAGCTGAACTGGTGAATCTTTAGTGCTTTTGAACCAGAGTGGAACTTCCTTCCATTTGTCCCTTGTCTTTATTGTCATGGGTTTTGCTTCCTCCTGCCCCTTTACCCCAGGTGGAGCTTTATGCTCACGAGCAAATTTTATAAGGAATACAAATATTGTTGTTCAGTAATGATCTAAATATGTACTAATGCTTCAGTAATGGTTGATACCAAACCTGAAACAGATCATGAGTATTTTACTGTGAGGGTTTTCTCCAATCTAGGTAATATAGAGAGATTCCACATCCCTGTGCAGGATATTTCTACCCCTTTCCATAGTTTTGTACCTTGTACTGAGAGAAACCTACTTTTACTTAAGGTAGCTTAAACGTGCATGAATTAGATAAACATGTCTGCTATGTTTAATATTAATGTATTTTCCTTAATTAATGTTTTATGACTGCTGTGAACACCTTTATTCTAACACACTAAGTTTTCCATGTTTCTTTGCCTGCTTTTTCAACAAAGAGGATACTTCTGACAAGATGGATGGTAAGAAATTGTTTAGTCTGTCCTCTAATTCTATTAAATACTTATTAAAGTGTCTTATGTAAAATTATTTAATATATTTGTCTTTTCATTAACAAAATACTATGTTGTTTTCATTAACCCTTATGTAATCTTGATGTCTTAATGTTTGTGTTGTGTTAATGCTGTATTTATCAGTGTTTTTGATGACTGGTCTGTATCAGCAACAGAAACTTTATCAGAAATGATTGTTGCTCCTATTCTGTTTTAAAAGCTCTATTAATTACAGAGCAAGTCTAATCAATATATGCTTTTCTAAAACTAGCTGTAGTTCGATCATCTTCCGTAAGTTTTACCTGTAAAGTCGAATGATTGGCTTCGTGGCAGAACAGCAGTGGGAGAGCAGAAGGTGCTTGGCCACATAATTAAGGATTTTTTAAAAAATGAAACTAAAATCCTCTGTCAAAAGTACTGTATCAAAATCTAGTCTGGCTACTGAATTTTAAGTGCCAGTAAATCCCCTAATATAATGTGATTCTATTAAACAGTGGTTTGTTAAGAAGACCTGTCTGTTAAAATAGCCTGCCACATATTCCAGCTAAGTTTTACCACTTATTTCGTTGTATTAAAACACATGGAGGCAGTTGTCACGTATTTTTATCCTGACTGCAAAGTAGTTGAAAATCACGCTGCTCGCAGCAGTTGTCTGTAAGTTTTGCTTCCGTGTAATAAAGTGACAGAGTCCCTGTTTGATGCCTAATAATTCAAGTTCTAATTTTATTGCTGGGGAGTAATCCAAGTTCTAATTTATTGCATAAGTCAGTTATGTTTGCTACTTAATTATTCAATGTCACGTTTCTGGAAAGTACATGTTTTGAAGAATGAGTAGTTTGCTGGAGGCAAAGGGGGGGATATTTTTCATAGAAATTAAAACAGTAAAAAGGTAGATCTCTCACACCCAGAATCCTGAATCATTTTAAAGCACAGATCATCAGTTTCATGATAAATAGTTGAGAGCATACATGAAAATTGGAGCCATATTTGAGCACTGCAGATGCAAGCCTATTTGAATAGAACAAGGGGAGTTTGTACAGGAAGTAAGTCTTGCTTATTTCCCTGTCACATTCCCTTATGTTGCATATAATAGGATTTATTCGTAACTGTCCCTGCTAAACACTTAATTTTGAGCTTCTGCACATTGTCACCAGCAACAAAGGTTCTTGGGGCTGTGTGTACAGGCTTTGCCTTCTGCTCAGACCAGTAGTCACAACTAGTGGTGTTCCACACATCTTTTTAAAGTAGCAGGGGAGGTGTCACACAGTTGGTCAGTGTAAGATTTTTTTCTAGAGGGTGTCTGCAGGGATGATGTATGAGGCAGGGTGAATGCAGCTTTGCTCTCCAACTGTAGCTGCTTTGATCTACCCACCACCAGGAGGAACTAATGGTTTCCTGCTTTTCCACTAATCTTGGCCATGTGATTGTACCTCTTCTTTTGCTAGTGTCTTATAATAATCCACTATCAATCACTGGAGGGGAACAAACACCAGAAAACTGATTTCGTAAACCAAAAGTGAATAGTTTTCTGTTACATAGCTCTTGGAGCTGACAGTGAGCCTTTAGCCATCCAGACCAGGTGCGTAGCTCAAGGAAGGAGAAGGAAAATAATCCCTTTTAGGAGCAGTTAGCTGTTAGCCTTGCTTACATGCTGCGTAGAACCTGCTTTCCAAGATCCAGCTCTGGAATAATGTTGGATCTGGGGGGATAAGTTAGGGTTTGGGGTTTTTTAATAGACTGGCGAATTTGATCTGGAAAACTTTGAGGCACTTCTACATACATGTTACTGTAAATGTTTTCTGTGAAGAAGCATTGAAATTTACACTGAATTAATCTTTTAGAGGGAGTTTTTAAAAATAACACCTTGAAGATAGTGTAAGATGAGAAAGCCATGGCCAGATCTGCTGAGAGAGTTCAGTTGAGGCCAGCCAAAGGCGCAGGCGGGTGTTGTGGTCATTGGAGTTCTTTTACAAGGCAGAAATGGCAGAAAGTGAAAATAAAAATGGAAATACCCTTTGATTTTTTTGAGGCATTTAACATTTGTATCACTACGAGTACGTGTTTTATTCCACAATCAGATTTGTTTCAAAGGAACTTGGTCAGAGGAAGGACTGCTATTTGAGTAGCTTCCCATCAACTCCTAAGTACTGATGTCAGTAAAAAGATTTGTCTGACTCTCATTTTATCATCAGCAAGCCTTGAGCTTGGCATACTTGTTCAAGTGTGATCTGGTTTCAGCAAACTCATCGCTTCCACTTCTCTGAGCAAAACTCCATCTTGTGCATTTTCAGAGAAATCATGGACTTAATTTGGAGACATCCTCCTTGCTGACTCCTATCCAATTATCACTGCCCAGTGTGGGTAACACTGTCCTTGGTTTTTTTGCCAGGGTAATTTATAATAGTACGTTTTTATTTTCAGAAGAGCTTGCACTATGGTATTTTCAATGTCTGTCTTCATCTGTACGTGTCACTTTCTTGACTGATCTCAGATTTGGGGGAGTTTCTATTTTTTTTTTTTTTAGTGGTTTGGTAAACAAGCCAGTGCTAAATACTGTGTTCTTGTAACTCACTGACAGTATAATATTGGTGTTTCTTGGTAATTTCTCTTCAGTGCAGTAATGGAGTTACAACACAAAAGCTTTAGCCCTCTTGACTTGATAAAGTTTGTCAAGTTTCATAAAATTAATCTCAAAAAGGAATTGGAGAGACACAGTATTGTTTGGAATATCATGTATTTTATTATTTTTTTCTGTTTAGGAACAGCTTCTGAAGATGGTAAGAAAATATTTTGTTAGACCAGTTAATATTTTCAGCTTCATATTTTCATTGATACAACTTAAGCTTTAAAAGTAGAATATGGTCTTTCTGGGGCTTTGTGGAGGTTCATAACTCCAGATTGCTTACGCATCTAATACTTGGTTGTCACATATCTTTAAAGTTCTTTTGCTTTTATTTCATTTCTGAAGCACCCATCTGCAGCAGAAGTGTCATGGCTTAACATTTGTTTAGTGTAAAAAATACAGGAGCTTTATAATTTTGCATATTTTTTAAAAGCCAGTTTTATCACAAAGTATTTCATCAGATGTGTTCGTGCTCTGGGAAGCAGGTGCTACTATTACTCATCTCTTTGAGACCTGAGAATTCATGTTCAATACGCTATTAACATTTAAACCTGTCATCAGTAAATAGATGTAGACTCCAAGTGAGTTAACAGTTAATTTGCTTCAGAAGCACAAACTTTTTACTCTGATAAAATTGAACCAGGTTCCAAGTGATAATTTAACATGGTATTGAAATAGTGGCACTCTGTATTCCCAGGTTTTTGGGCCAGATTCTGAATGCAGTTACATGCCTTGCAGTCTCACAGCACTCAGTGGGAAAACATTGCTGTTGCACAGGGATAACTAGTAGAGTTTGGACAAGTTAATCTAACCGTTCTTGCTAGCATATTGTTTTCTAATAGTTTAGTGAATAACCTCATTTATCCTGATTCTCTTATAGGCTCTTATCTATGGCTTTTCCCTCTAACTTGGATGAATAATATTAACTTGATTGGTCTCCAAATTCTGCTGTGGAAAGCCTAAAGAGGCTAGAACTTAATAGCAGTCTGTGTGCTTAATTCTTCTGGGTCTAATATTGACTGTACATGTCTAGAAAATATTTTAATGATGCTGGTATTAAAGTGGATTACTTGTTGAGGTATATCCACCCTGTATAAGCTTTTTGGGGTTAGTTCTTGCAACTTGTAAGAATTATGGTTAGCATGGTTTTGACTTCATTTTTTCTGTTGTTGCAGAGATTGGCTCGGGAAATGTAGGATAAACCTCTACTATTTTCTTTTATGAATAATCTTTTGGTTACTTATAATTCATCCAACTGGGGTCTTCCTTTTTTTTGTAATTTCACTGTACATGCTGGGTGTTACGAGGAACACTGCTAATAATGCAGAAAAGTTAAACCCAAACCAAGGTGGTTTGGCATTGTAGAGAGAAGTGAATCTACTGGTTTAGTTCTTTCATCTAGTGAGGAGAATAGCATTTCCTTACATTGTGTTCTCACTGAGAAGTACTTAAGTGTACTTGGTCTTTGTAAAATGCTGTAAGAGGCCTGGCTAGAATTCTGTGTAGCTGTGGCCAGGCTAACAGTGGAACCTTCAGTAGCAGGAAAGCTAGTATTTAGATTTCTGAGGAGTGAAGTTAGGAAGAAGCCTCAGAATCCAGTCAACATAGTTTTGGTAGGTTTCTGACAGCAGAAGTAGAATTACAACCACAAGTAATCATGAGAAGACTGTACCTGGTACAGCAATATTAGCATATGCCTTGCTTATCACGTTTAATAAACTTCCCTTTTTTTAATGTAATCAACCTATTGATGAAGTAAGCAAGAACAAGCTAGGGTGTTCAGGTGATAGTGTAAATCATTTACAGAAACATGCAGCATCAGAGGGGAAGTGCTTTGATTCCTCTACTATTAAGTCCTTCAAGGTGTTCAAATTTCTACTAATTATCCCAAGTGAATCTTCACCAGTTGAGTTACGTTGTGCTGCTTTTTTATCTACAGAAACTTAAGAGAATGTTAGTAAATGCTATTGATGCTTTGCTTCCTACGTTACTGTAAAAAACGGATCTAATGCCATTTTTCTGTTACAGGTCGTGTACGAACAAAGCTTTCGACACCTTCTGTTGGCATTGGCAATTCTAAAACAGATTCAAGAGGACGGAGTAGAACCAAAGTGGTGTCACAGTCTCAGCGTATGTATATTCTATTTATCAGTTATACCTGTTAAAAGAGGCCAAATGCTTAAGCATATATTCATTGACCAATGTCCACAGTCAAAGTTAACTTTAAAACATAGCTACATACTGAGTTGTTGTTCTGTGCCTTAGGTTCTTCATCGCCAGACAGCAATGAAGGTATTTTTTCAGTGTTTTGGATCAGTGGTATTTGCATGCTTTTCTAATTCATGTTGTTTTTCTCTGGACAAAATAATAGGTTAGGTTTTCACTTGCCAATTAAATTAGATATTGGAACAGGAAATGAAAATTAAATCTACCCTTAAGTTCTGTCTTCAGTTATAACTTCTCAACATTCTTTTCCCCCCATTTCTGACCTCCCCAACATGAAAGACCAGTTAACTTCTGTGTCAGGCACAAATGAGGCACAGACGAGGAATACAGAGGAGTGGGTACACTGAATGGTGTCCGCAGTGTTGCCTGCCAGACCTAATTTGTCATTTTTCAAAAAGCCTTATTTTTCAGCCAGACATACCTGTTTTCATTTTAAGCTGGGCACTGCCCTAGCTCTTGGATCTTTTTGCACAGTATTCATGTCTAAAGAGATAAGTTGAACTGATCCTGAAATAACTAGATCTGTTTACATGTGATCATGTGTGAAAATTAAATGCACAAATGCATTTTTACAGCCTCTTATTAGTGTTTCTGTTTGTCACTGATGGCTCCAGATAGCTCATTAGAACCTGTCAGTGGGGGAGAACAAGAATTCTGAGATGTTCTAAGGAAGATACCCAGGCACATACAAGTGGGCAGGTGAATGGCAGTTGTCAGGCACCATGTGCCAGCTTTGGGGTGGTGCTGCTTTATCTGACTGGAAATTGCCACATCCTTGTGGGGGGCAAGGTGCTCGATGTTTCCATGCAGGGGATTTGGTTACTTCCCCAGCAGATAGTGGGAGGACAGCTTCCTATCAGATTGAAGCTTTTTGCTTTTATGTTTTCATAATCACTGTAGCACAGATGCTTTTGTCAATTTAGGGTTACAGCTATTCAGCGCTTTTGTTCAAAGATCATTTTATGAAAGACTTGCAAATTTGAATGCTTTTACAAAAGATACTTTTTTTTAGGGTTTCAGAAGCCCTTTACTCTCCTATTTTTAAATTGTAACATAAAATAAGTGTCTATACAATCTATAGCTCATTGGTTTATTCTTATCTATGGAAAAAAATAGTTCAATTTTTTTCCTCTCCTTTCCTGTTTGGTTGCCAGGTAATTCAGCAACACGTGCTAAAGTGACATTGCAATCTTCATTCAGAGAAAAAGAATTAAATTTCTGAATGGAAACAAATACTGATTCTTGTACTTTAGATGAATTTTAAAGAGGAAAATCTGAAATTCTGTGCAAGTCTTTTCAGTTGTGCCATTGTGAGTTGGTTTTTTGTCATCCACCGCACCTGCAGCTCAGTTCCTTTACTGTCTGTCTCTAAATTAAACTAAAGTTTTGGCCTTGTGTGTGATTTTTTTTTTCTGTTCAGCTGTTGAACTTCTTGAACCTTTTTGGCAATGCAGTATTCTTTGAAAGTGATATGAAGGCTACAGTTTCATGTTTAATTGAAATGTAATTCTTCAGTATTATCCAGTTATTGATTAGAAAGCTGAAGAATTGTAATTTGCTTGTGCAGCTTTGCTTCATCTGCTTTGTGCATAGCATCTGAGTTTAATTCTTCAACTGTGGAAGCTACTTGAAAGCACTGCTTTAACATAACCCCCTGTGGCTTTTTTTTCCTGTGTGAAATGACTAAAGCTTTCTTATTTCCATTTGCCATCCATTTCTTTAATCTGCTCTGCTCCCTCCCTCTTCATGGATTATAAACCCCTACCCTAATCCTGCCTTTACACTTGGTCAGGATCACAGTCTGCTAACCCCATTGGTGGTAAGAGTCTATGGAATTTGTGTACTCATCATTGTTTGATCACCTGTTTGACATCTCTCATTAGAGGATCCTATTCAGCAGAAATTCTGGCTCGCTTTTCTCACCTACTTGGTTGTAGTCCTCATTTAGAAGGCAGTAGGGTTGGGACGTTTTGGTCATTTTTGGTATGCTGTTCTATTAATCCTCCTTTTATCATTCAGTTCCCTTAGACCTGCTGCTGGGGGCAGTACTGATAAGAGTGTGCCAGTGCTCTTATCAGCATTGTGTTTTCAGGATATTAAACGTCTCTTGGTTTGCTTGTGCTTCACAGGTGAGACTATAGGAAGATAAAGCGTTAGAATGAGAGGTTGCATTTCTTCTCTATATTCTGAGAAGAGTAAGTTTTACAGGGTTTTGAACTATGGAAGAAAATCTTCAGAAAGTCTCCAGCACAGTGAAGATTTTTAAAGTATTTTATTCGTTTTGAAGAGATGTGAAATACTGGAGGGCGGGAAGAAGGCATAGGAAGAGCAGGTCTAAGTGGGAATGCCGTGGTACGAAGAAACTGCCTAACCCCTAATTTTTACAGCCCACAGCAATTTTACAGACTTGCCCATTCCTTTTTTTTTTTGCCATAGAAGCTATGCTCGATCTCTGCAGGCTGCCTAATACTTTATTTATCATTTCTGCTGAATAGGCCCATAGTTCGGAAAAGGGATTTTGCTAAATGATCATTTCCAGTTTGAATTCAAACAATGAATCTGACAGTCTGTGCATGGTACATTGTTTCAGTTTTCCCCTGCCCTTCCTCCCAGCGTATGTTTTATTTTGTTTGGGATTTTGTTTCTTTTCCCATATAGTCAAGCTTTAATCAACTTGTGTGTTTTCTTTAAACGTGCCTCATAAGAAGTAACCCATGAAACTCACTTGAGATGTTGCATGTGAAGTCTGTAGATCTGATAGCATAGCTGTGGTCATACAGTTACCTGGTTATTTCTTAGAGATGAATGAAAGGTTTGTATCTGTATGTAATTAACCTTTGGTTAAAATTATATTTTACTTTTTATTTGGTCAGACTTCTTGAATTCTGCAGTTGGAGACAATATACTTACAGCAACTGGTGGTATAAATGAATTATAACTAGAGATGAATGGATTCCCTGTTAGGGCTTAGAACTTTAATTTTCTGTAGCTGAAATATCAAAATCAGGGATCAAGACCAGTTTCAGGTAGTGAGTAGAGCGTGTTGAAGATTCGCAGCGCTCCATAACATACAGTTTTGATTAATAAAAATATTAGATACTTAAATATGTCTTGGTCAGGTTTTTTAGCTTGTTGAAGATTGTCATTTGGGTCTGTGGGATAACCTCCTCAGAAATGAACATAAGAACTTTAATTGTCTGCAGTGACATTTTATTTAACTCCTCAGACAATGATGCTTGAAGACCCTGTGCTTTTAAAAGAGAGAAGAGTTTAAATATTAGGACAAATACATTATTTTACTGTAACATTGGTAGCATTGGAAGAGTTGGATAATTATGAAATCAGTAGTTTAAAGTTGTTCCCTTCAGCTTTTTAGTAGGTTTTGGGGGTTTGTTTTTGTTTTGTTTTGTGTTTTGTTTTGTTTTCTTTCAATGGAAAATGTGATTAGTGTTCATGTTAGGGACATTGGAACTGTTGATGAAGGCTAGAAATACTGTTCATGGTTTCTTAAGCGTATCTAGTGCTAAATACCATGTCAAGTGCTTCCTTGCATTGATAGTTTTGCCTACCTTGTACGTAGTGCTCTAAGAACTTGAAACAAGGTATTTATTTCCCATTTTACCTTGTCAGTTTTTCCAGACCATTTCAGTCTGCCACCACTTCCTTACTAACTTTAAGCATTTCTTTTCTTTTTGACCACGGTTGTGTGTCTTCTCTGCAGTTACTTACATTTGTTCGTTTTGCCTTCAGCTGGCAGTAGATCTGGGTCTCCTGGAAGAGTTCTGACAACAACTACACTTTCCACTGTGAACACAGGAGTTCAGAGGGTGTTAGTGAATCCTGCAACTGCACAAAAACGGAGCAAAATCCCACGGAGTCAGGGGTGCAGTAGAGAAGCAAGTCCTTCCAGATTGTCAGTAGGTAAGAATCATTCAATAACTTGGTTTCTTTATAGCCCATCTTACTGCAAGTGCCAGATATCTACAGCTTGTGTTCAGTTATAGCTGGATGATAAAATTGGAATACATACCAGTAAAAATCTAAAACATACCTGTTTTCTGAGGCTAGTCTTTACCAGGTCTAAATTTAAACAGAACCTTCAAGTTTTTGCCATTTATTTGTCAGAAGCCAATAGTAGTTCTTTTCCTCACCTCCCTTTCTTCCTTCTCTTTGCCTTTCCTTCACTTCCTATCCCTACCCCCAGAATGCCCACCTCCATTGAATGAAAGCGTGATACCACCTTGAAAAGATTACTTTCTTCATTACTTTTGTGTGTTCTTCATATGTGTGCTTGCATGTGTATATTACACTGATACTAAAATAAGTGTCATATATCTTAAACCTCACAGTATGACCTGATTACACTTTATTACAAACACTATTATTGAAGAATATCAGTTGATGTTAATGGTATTGCTGCTGCTCTTTGGTTTGTATTTTGATTTTTACCTTAGCTGCATTAATTTTCTATATTCCATCTTTGGAAAGCTGTGGGTTTTTTAATTTGTATTGCTATTGATCAGCTTGATCTGAGTACAAGTTCTGAATCAATACTCTCTTCAGATTTTTTCATTGCTTGTTCCCTCTTCATCCTTTTTAAGAGGTTTTTCAGACATTCATTCAGGAGTTGGTAAATCCCCATTTTGAGCTGTATGAAGCAATAACTTCATTGAATGGGCTACACATAGTATGCTCCAGCACAATCAAGCAAGTGTGTGGAAACAGCTATGACTTAGAATACAACATAATCATCAGTGTCTATTCTTAGAAATGCGTCTTTGATCTTACTTCAGAAACACAATTGCATTAAAACTGCAACTTTTCTTATGTCTTCTCCCTTCTGTGCTGCTGTTTGTCTGTACCCTGAATCATACTAGCACGAGGCAGCCGCATTCCTCGCCCTAGTGTGAGTCAGGGGTGCAGTCGGGAGGCCAGCCGTGAAAGTAGCAGGGACACGAGCCCTGTCCGCTCTTTCCCACCCCTGGGTAAGTACTCTCTGCCCCTTGTCCTTGCATGGCTGTCCCTGCCCTTCATTACTGCTCCTAACGAGTCTGTGCCTCCTCCATTTAGCTTGTGGCCAGCCACCATTATTTTCCCTTCCTTTGGCTCACTCACCGCTTCCTTCCATAGAGAGCTGACCAATGTGTGAATGGGTTGCACACGTGAAAAATAAAGCTTTGCTAATTCAGTCTTACCTTAAACCCTACACTTGGAAAGGTGTGTGATGCACAGCATCTAGGTACCTTTTTTGAGAGGGCAATTCTGCTTTTGGAAGGCTTTCTGAAACGACGTGTTTCTCTCATTACTACAGCACTCGTGGCTTGGGTGCAGTTAGATAGTCCATTTCTCAGTGACCCCCTAGAGCAGAGTGCAGCGTGGCTGTCATCCCCTGCCTTCCCTGCACCAGCTGCTAGGGCCTGCTGCTGTTCAAAATTGCTCTGGCCAGTGAATCATTTTGGTGTATAAGAAGAAAATATACTTCATTTTATGTCTCTCTAGCTATAGTGTCATCATGGTATTGTGTGAAAAAATAGCAACATTTTAACTTCTTGATATTAAAGCAAGTAAATATGATGGTGCAGATACAGGACCAATCTACTGGAGCAGGGTTATGAGGCTGCTTTCCATTTTGGAAAACCAAGCAGGGCACGTAGCAAAGTCCCTGTACAAGTAGATGAATGAAGTACCATTCTGAAGCTTACTGTTAATCTGCATCTGGAACAAGTGAGAAGTAGTTGAGGCAGCAGCTGTTGTTCAGTAGGGAAGGAGAGGAATCAAAAACTTGAACTTTCATGTATGTATAGCTACATTCAATCTGCTTTTCTAGAGCTTCTCTAAGTACAAGTTTTGGTTTCACTTAGTGTTTCAGTGTGTTGGCCTGGCACTTGAAGGATTTTGCAAGGTTGTTGAGCTGTGTCTGTTCCTGAAATGTCAGTAAGACCCAGGAACATTGGTTTACAGTTACTTTGATGTGTTGGTTAAGGATTAGGGAAGCTTCTCATCTCCACGTGTCCTTGTCAAGGTCACTACGAAGTCAGTAGTCAATTTTGATAAAAGTCTTTTTACGTATTGGGTTTGTGTGTCTGGGGGTTTTGTATTATTTGGTAATACAAAATTCTGTGCAATTGTGTCTAAAACTGATCATTTGGTGTGTTATTTTTGTCTGAGTTAATCTTCAGTATGTATCCCTCATCTTTTGTTTGTTCAAGTATAGCTTACAGTTAATGCTACCTGTTAAACATAGTCTGAAATAGGAGATCTCTGGTTTCTATCTCAAATTGAGGCACCCAACAGTACTCCTAATTAGCACTGGAAGTCTGTTGTGGTCTGGTGAGGCAGTGTGCTTCCTGTCAGCCATGGGTTCACTGGCAAAGTACAGATTAATGGAATGAAAGCTGTTTCAATGACTAATGCTAATTTGCCCAGATGCTGTTTAATTGGGAAGTACAATTAAAAGTGGACATTATGCAGGATCCATTAGTAAACTCACGATTTTTAGCCAAACACAGCTGGCACTGTTGTAGTATGCACACAGCTTTGTTCCTTTTATGAAGGAGGGTATTTTCCAGATCTTTTTGTGTTGCTTTTGCTACCCTACAGCTTGACTTCAGTTGCATCCATATGAGACCTGATGTATGTTTCATTTTGGGTCACATGCTTGTTATTCTAAGAACTCTGTGTTAAACTGATACTGTAAGATGGGTCTTTGGGACCGATGTTACTTGGGGTTTTGTATTCAGATATCAAAACAAGTACCTATAGAAATACAATAGGTTGAATTGTCTGAGAGCACAGAGAATGCAAAGTGGCATGTATAGGAATCCAGTGTTATTAAAAAACCAACCAAGCAGCAGCGGTACCTGGAATAAAGGAGGATTCCTAGGATTCCTTCCATTATGAGTTATTTGAATAATCTTGAGTGTCATTCAGTGCTTGTTGGACCAGTCTTGTCTGGTGAGATGCTATTAACTTCTATCAAAAGTACTAAATGCAATGTTTTTCAAAGGTAGAAGATGAAATAAGGCAAATTCAGCTCTGTGATTGTAGCTAGCGACAGTTTTACCTGGGATTGGAAGGGGGAATGTATTCTGTATTGTATCTGATTCTCAGCACAGCAACTTTCGCTTTGGAATGCTAAGCCCTTTTGGGGCATAAAGTGACCCAAATGCTACGTAACTGCTGCTCCGTATGCACCTGTATGAAGTGCATCTCCCATCTCGGTGTCAGATTATAACCTGGGGGGATACTGCCACTTGAAAAGCAAGTGATTAGTCATTTAAATGGATTTGTTTCTGTTACATACAGTTAATGTTAAATACCAGGTTAGTATAATTTTCATATTTTAGCTAAGAAATTACATTATTTTGAGTCCATTTAAAATCTTATCTTGATTCATTTGTTAAAAAACGCAACAACAAAAGTCAGTACTTGCACAATTTCTGCCATTTGAGGGGTACAAAGAATATTCTTGAGAATATGCTTTGGAATAAAGTATGTTTGATCCAATATAGTGCTTCCTTTTACTGTCTCAACAACTTGACCGGCATGTTTCAAATCTCTGTGGGGACAGGATCATCTTGAATTCTGTGCCTAAAGTTTCAATTTTTAATTGTACCTTTAATCTTCAGGGCTTGTTGATGGAAAGTAGTTGAAAAGTTTTATCCTGTGTTTGCTTGTATTTAAAGCTCTATCAGCCTTGACACCTCTGGTTTGACATCCTCTGTCCTGTCTCCTTTTCCATGCTGAGACATACTCCTAAAGAACCAAGGACTCCACAAAGCAGTGGCTGCAAAACAGAATTTCCTGGATAAACAGCTTTGCAGGGGTTTAGTTTGAAATTAAAGACATTGCTGTGCCTTATGTAAGGAGTGGAGAATTTCATGTGGAAAAGCCACAGTGTTGTTCCTGAGCCCTTTACAGGACTTTTTGGATCATTTTGGTTGAGAGGTGTGCTTCCCAAATGGGATTTGGTCTGTGTCAGGGTAATTTGATTCAGATTGGGCTCTTACATTGTCAGTGTTCATCCGAGTAAAGAATGATTCATGGTTTCTACTTACAGTATTTCATGTATCCAAAAGGTGCAAAATACTTGCATTTATAGTTATTAAGTCATAACAGTCTATCTGGGGTTTATGTCACTGTGGGTGGACATTTGAATTCAAGTTAAGATTGTCAAACCCCGTGTCATTTACGTGGCTGTTAAACTCTTAACTTAAGTGAACTGAAGAAGAGGATAAATCCGTGGACGTACGTTGTATTTAAAATTACTTGGTTTAAGAAAAAAAATATCAGCAGTGGTGAGTCAAGGATCTCTAAAAGACCAATTACATGCAAGTGCCAGGAGGAGGAGGGTGCTCAATTTTATTCACAGTCCTTCAGGATCTTTGGTTTCTTGTTTCCGTAACTTTTAAGCATCTTAATGAACTATAGTAAGTACCATGAATTACACATTTATTCAAAGAAAATAATACCAATGTGAAATATCGATAGCATTAAGTTATTTTAAACCTTTAATTAAAATTGATTTTAACTTTCATTCAACATAGTGGTGAGTTTTAACTGAGGTTGACTTACCTGCACATAGGCAGGAACTCGATTTTACACAAGCTGTCAGCTGCCAGGACAGTAGGTTCGTGCAAAAGGCCCTGCTTGCAGGTGATGTTTGGTATGTAAGTGAGGTAGCTGCAATAGAAGACCGGTATGAGTGGAGCTATTTAGATATTGCTGAGTATTCTGTGTGTGTGTGTGTGTGCATGTGTGTCCATGCATCTTTTCCTTAAACATATTTGCTTTTAATCTGCTGTTTAATTTTTAAATTAAAAAGAACCCAAAAATCGTGCATGAGATGTCCACTGTACATGAACCCATAGAATTCTGTGTAATCATGTTCTGTATAATCAAAGAACTTCTCTGGAGCTTCTTCTTTCTGTGTAATGCTCAGTTTCTTTTGCTAAAGCTGAATCTTTCTATGAATATTCTCTTGTTCATCTAAGCAACTATTGCAGCACTCTGATTCCATGGTAATAGATAGGGTTTATATGATCCTGTTATTGCAGCTTCCAGACATCACTCCAGATCCACCGGTGCCCTCTACGCTCCTGATGCTTATGGGGCTACAGGTGAAGGATGAGTACACTTTGCTGTCATCTGTGCCGTCATCCTGGATTTTTTTTCCCCACCTACTTGGTTATTCTCATAGTTCAGTTTTTTAAAACATTATTAATTTGAGTTTCATGGTTTTAGTAATCCAGATAGTTGTGTTTATGTTGGTAGATTTTGGCTCCACCCTCCCCATGTTAATCATTTTCTTCCTTAACAACCATTTTATTTTTACTTGCAGAAGAACCTTTTTTAGTTTTCCATTTTTCAGTATTTGTAGAGCATTCTTTATGCATGTAGTTTTCTAATCAGCGCTCTCAATAGCCTTCCCATTCTATTTGCTGCTTCTGAAATGAAAACAAAAACCCAAAATGAAGAAGACCTTTTAAAAAAAAAAAAAAAAGTTCTTTCAGTTAAAACCATTGTTTTGTGGGATTTTTCCCCCTGTGGTACTAGAATAGAATGTGTGCATATGGCTTTGGTTTTTTACTTCATTTCTGACTTTTCACTGCACCACTAAAGACTTCAGAATGAAAATAACCAGTATTTCAGCCACTGCATAATTTGTTAGAAACGTTAAGCAAATGCTTTTCTTCTGCTTGGGTTTTTTTTTAAGAGAGTGTGATATCTATGTCCCATGTTGGTCTCCTGACTGAATTCTTTCTGTTCACGTTTGTTGTTGTTACAGCAGGTTCCAGCTTTGGAATTAGTCAGTCGAGTCGGTTGTCATCATCAGTTAGTGCTATGCGAGTTCTGAACACGGGTTCTGACGTGGAAGAGGCAGTAGCAGATGCTTTGGTAAGAATCTCACATTTACACTGTGTAGGATACAGACTCTTCAAATGTTTGGTATCTCTGTATTAAAGTATGCAAAAGAACTTGTCAGTCATTATTTTACTGGCTTCTGGGCAGGGAGGGGGGGAAGAGAAACAGAATTGCTAGAGCTGGGAAGTGTTGGAATTTTTGTTCCCTGCAGAAGTCTTAACTTCTGAGAAAGGTACATTTTTTCCATGGCAGACAGGAAATAGTTTTGGGCTGTTCTGTTGGAGTGGCCCAAGGAGCCACTTGAGCAGGTAGCATTAACCAGCAGTTGCCCACAACTGCCAGACATCTGGGTGGGTCGAGGGCTTGTCAGAGCTGGCAGTGATGGCGCTGAAGCACTCTGCTTCTCATAAGCCTGGGTTCTGTTTAAAGTTGCTCCGTCTGTCAACGTGTGAGATTGATGCTGCAGAGATAAATGATGTCTGGGCAAGCAGCATGTCATAACTTTAGTCTTTGTTTTCTTTTATTTTCAAACTGTCACACTGAGTTTAAAACTGGTTCTGCCATTCCCTTCTTGGCCTTTGCCGTTCTTCAAAAAGGGAGTGTTTGGCTCCTTGACCTTCCTGTCCCAGTGAGCCAAGCTGAGCATGTCATGTCCTTTCCTATTCTGACATGTACATCACCAAGCTGAAGTCTTCAGTTAATGTCAAATACTTACACTATGAGTCAGATACAGATATTTAATGATACTCAAATAGTGTACACTAACTGATAAAAATATAAGTGCCTGTTACCTGTCGATCAGTCAGAATGCTGTAAGGAAATCGTTATTACTCTTTTTACTAATGTGCCAAATAATCTTTTTCTTAAACCAACTACAAATTAGATTCTAAAAAAAAATAATTATAGCCAGATATGACTGGACAGGGAGAAACAAGATTTCAAAGGAAAACATCTGAAGAACTCTGACATGTTCTTAATCTGGTGATTTATTGATTCCTTGGTTTATACTGTCTTCTTGGCACATCAGTTTAATATTGGTGTGTCTTCGCTGGCATAGAGATTCAGGACATCTGTGAAATCTTGCCTAAGAAGTCATGGTGAGAGTGAGCGGGTTTTCCCTTTTTTGATAGTGTAAACTTGTAACAACCTTTCAGCATTAATGGGGAATGCTCATTAGTTAACCATCAGTCAGTCTGGATTTGGGAGTAGGGAGCAATAGAAAAACATTTGTCCATGGAACATGAAAAGTTTCTGTCTATAATTTGAAAACCAGCCTGTGCTATAAATTTATCCACACTGGTGCTAAATGAAGAGTATCTTCAGTACTTTTAACAGCTTCATAGCTTATTCAGATTTAGCTGGGTGAAATATGTAGTAAGAATATAAATTTAGAAGAAACTCATACTTCTAGTAACTGCTCTTGTGGCTGGAATGTGTCCTGTTTTGTTGAAGCGACTAAGTTTGTTCATAGAAACTGGTTTGTCTTACCTGTCCATGGTAAGACATGCTTCTAGAAATGCTAGAGGAAAATTAGTTTGTGTATTTTAGCTAGACTCTAATGGATTCTAGCTAAAGAATCTTTAGAGGATCAAGAAGGATCAAGACCAGCAACAACTTATTACTGCAGCATTTGCCTGCCCGCCTGCCACACTCTCAGTGTACAGCTTGTCCTGTACAAAGGGCTCCATTTAGATGCAAATCTGGTTATGAAGACCCTTCTTGTGTTAGCACAGACTGAAGCGCCCTCCTCAGAACACTGTTTCTAAAAGGTAGAGTGTACAGTCCTGCCAGATGTAATATAAATATAAAAATACAGAATCACCGAATCATAGAATGGTTTGGGTTGGAAAGGACCTTAAGATCATCTAGTTCCAACCCCCTGCCATTTTTGTGGTATAAAAATACTTGGCCAGTTACAACACTGCTCAGGCCAAATTGGCATCAGTCTTTTGGCTAAGATCTGGTTTTGAATATAAGATACAAGAAATGCAGCAACGTGGTGATCTTCACATAGAACCACAGAATGGGTTGGGTTGGAAAGGACCTTAAGATCATCTAGTTCCAACCCCCCCTGCCATGGGCAGGGACATGGTTTCACACCTTTTGTTTCAGCACAGTCCTTGACATTTCAGATTTTATTTCTTTATTTCTTTTTTTTACTTACAGTGACCCTTTTCAAAAATGCTCATGTCTTTGGGGTTTTTCCCTTGCTTTATTCTCTTACACATGTCTGTATGCTTGTTCTCTTGGCACTAAGCTTGTTTGTTAGATGGTGTATTGACTGGTCTGTATTGCGACACGCTTCAAGTTATTCCACAGTTAAAAATGAGACCCTGCACAAGTGGGAATGGTATTTAAAGGGAAACCAATCACACTGCTGCTTCTGTGTGTGTATAATGAAATCAGGTTTTTAACTACTAGCTTCAACTCCAAAATTTGAATGGCAGGGTTGTTTTGCAGGGGTACGTGGTCTTCCTTTCAGGATAAATAGCAATTCTTCGGTTGGGGTTTTTTTGTTTGGGTTGGGTTTTTTTTCCCTCTGGCCTTTGGCATGTTGTGTTTTGTTTTGTTTTTAGGGGATGTGGGGTTTTGCATTATGGTTTGGGGGTTTTTGTAGCAATTGTTGCAATGACCAAATTTACATAGATATTTAAATGGAGTTAAAGACAGAGGTGGAGAAGTTGATGGAAGAATAAAGTTTAAATTACTGTCTCAGATAGCAATTGACTGCATGTGTGAAGTCTTCATGCTTAAATACTACTGCATGAGACACAAAGGTGTTGACAGAGAAGTCTTTGTGACCAACCAGCAGATGATATGTAATACATCCCTGGATATGGAAGCTTAGAAAACTCCTTGGCGATTCATGATATTCTAATCAGATGCAGAGAGCTAAGAACAAAATTTGCAGTAAGACTCTGTGTTGTTCAGTAGCAGGTAGTTTGATAGTCAATGCTGCTATGCCTTACCTCCCTGTTCTCAATTTCTGTTTCTTTTCAATAATTTACTGCTAACAGCTCTTAGGAGACATACGGACTAAGGTATAGAAACTGTTTTCTTTCTTCAATAGTTTAATATTTTGCTATTAACATGCTTGATAAAAGTAAGTTAAAATGACAAGAGTGTGTGGGTTTAGACTTGAATCTTACATCCTGTAACATAGATAAAGCAATTAAGGAAAATAACTAACTTTCAATACAGTCTTTATATCACCCTGTCACGCAGTTTTATGGATTTTTACAAGTAAACCTTAAGTTGAACATTCCATCAAACGTATGTCTTCTTGGCATTTGCTTTGCTTTTATATTTGGAATACCTCACAAGCCATACTTCTTTAAAATGTATTTGTTAACTTGGTTAGACCTACTGAACAATTGGAGCCATTTGTCACTGCAGGGAGTAGGGGTCACACTGATAATTTGAACTGTTGGTGTCTCCACTCTTTATGGGTCTGTATACTCTCTCTTTGAAAATCAGTGCTAATGTGGGGTGTTTCTGTACTGTAGAAGAAGCCTGTGCGAAGAAGATACGAGACCTATGGGATGTACTCAGATGATGATGCCAACAGTGATGCATCAAGTGCCTGTTCAGAAAGGTCCTATAGCTCTAGAAATGGAAGCATACCAACATACATGAGACAGACAGAAGATGTGGCTGAAGTCCTAAATCGCTGTGCCAGCTCCAACTGGTCAGAGAGAAAAGAAGGCCTTCTAGGCCTGCAAAACTTGTTAAAGAACCAGAGAACTTTAAGGTAAGAAGAAATTTCAATAGAAAACATTTTAATCTAGAGTCGAAGGGTGGCAAGGGAAGCAGGAATTCAGAACGCTGGGGACAGGGAAAGCAAAGTGTACATCTCAGAGTAGGATGGGGGAAGGAATGAGGAAGCTGTTGTCACTTCTGGCCACCAGTATATAGGATCTGTTTAAAAAGCTCAGTTTAAGAAATGGAATTTAAAATCAATACAATCCTTGCAATACAGAAGATGCCTGAAGTGCTTGCATCTAGTATTAATGGAAGGCCTTTATCATTTCTGTTGTTCTTGTTATTATTAATATTCTTCTTATTAATAGGTTATTTACTCAGAAGAAACTCTTTACCACTAGCTACTAAGTATACCTTTTTCATGATCTGCTCTGTTAAAATATTCGGAAATGTTATAATACACAAACTTGTTTAAAGAGACACTTGTAGGTTGAAAGTCTCATTTTAGACAAAATTATTACATTTTTACCATGTCTTAAAATGCTTTACTTTGTTTACTAGATTACTTGATTCAATATTTACAGTTGATTGCACTGATTGCTGTGCGTTAGCGCCCGGTGGTTCTAGCAGGGGAACTGACTAACGTATTGTTGTCACTTTGACAGTCGTGTTGAGTTGAAAAGGTTGTGTGAAATCTTCACAAGGATGTTTGCTGATCCTCACAGTAAGGTATGTTTAGGTTCCTCTTACTTTCAGTAAAGGTTTGAACACTATAATAGAAAGCCAGTTGTGGTTAAATATGTCAGTGGTATTTGCAGATGTCAGAACTGGATAGGCTGTTTTCTGTAAGCAGTTAGCATCAGATTTCAATCCGTTTAATTTGCAATTTTGACCAAGATCATTTTCCATGTTGTTTGCAGGGTAATTGAAATAAGGTAAAGGTTAGTTTCATCTAAAATGCATTGAAGTAGGTCAGTAGTTTCTGTTAAAATTTGTAAGCATTTTTAAGGCGTCATGTTGTTTACAGAGGACACTTCAACATGAATAATGTTTTTCTCTCAATTAGAAACAAAAGGCTCTGGTGCAGTAATGTGAATCATAAAGAAAGTAGTCTAAATCGTACATGATGAGTCTAACGAATTATACCAAATGTGTACTTATTTATTTTCCAGGGTATTTTGTATTATTACAGCTTATGATGCCTTCCTCAAATGTTATAGATAGGGCTGGCTGTTGAGACTGCTGTGTGATTTTTACATCACTGGTAGTATTCAATAAGTAAGGTAGAGACTATACTTTGATATAAAAGAAAATGCAATGTTTTACTCACTTTTACCTAGGTAAAGACCCAAGGACAATAATCTTCTGTTCTCTGAGACCATTAAAATCTCTTTAACAGCATTACTTCGCTTGATAATATTTTCAGGTTTTGTGGGAGGTTGGTTACTAGTACAGCTTCATACATGCAGTCATTTCTTATAGCAAAAGGACTGTAGCAGGTAAGGAGCTGAATAAAGTTACAATAATGTCATGTAAAGAACATGTAACTTCATAGTTTGAATTATAGACTTGTTTGGAAAAAATGTATCTTTCATGTTGGTATAACATGTCCCACTTGGTGTCCATATTTAAGAATCGATAAAATGATAACCCGGAAAAATTCAGAGCAGAGGAGTTACTTCAGAAGTGTTGGCTTTTCCCAGCAGAGTTCTGAAAAAGGAGTTTGTGCAGTACATTTTACATGTTTTAAGTCTTCCTTGTTGCTGTAATCTGAAATTAAATTCAGGCTGATGAGAGGTCTGGACCGGCCCACTTAGTATTCATCTGTCCTCCTTGTTTTTCCTGGTAAGGAGGTGACTGAGCTGCTATCTGCCAAGCAGTTACACTGCAGAAAGCATTCCATAAAAAGAATGGTTAAGTTGGAGGAGAGGACAGAAAATACAATGTTGAAATATTATTGAGTTTTATATGAAGTAATGACAGAATTGTGGCTAGCAGCTTGGTTTAATTTTGCTTGTTCTTGTGTTAATTAGTATTGCAGCTCTGCATATATCAAAACTAGCCTGGAGATCTGTTTGTAGAGGGGGAGCCAGGGAAGGATAATGAAAATATTCCAAAATTTAGGGGTGTGTGTCAGAAGAACATTTTATTTATTAAGCCTTTAGGAATATTACATTGAATTATTCTGCTTGATTGTTTTGTTTACTGGGCATCCTGACATAGAAGCATGTTGCTATGATTTTGCAAACGTGGCCTGTGTTACAGCATATGTGGTACAACTGTTCTGGTCACTGAAGCCTTGCCTGCCTTTTGGTGTTGCAAAATGATGAATAGTTATTAGTATATCATCCGAGGATCCTTTGAGTATTAGGAGTTCATGAGCTGTGATTTCTTGTACCACACACACATGGCAACAGAAATCTCATCTTAGAGACTTTTCAAGTGTCTGCAGGAATTCTCCTGTCATCACTGTTATTGTTTAGTTTGGGTTTTGGTTTTTTTTAGAGATTTACTTTTGCATGATAGCTGGATGTAGGGAATTGCTTAGAAAAGGAGGGTAATATCATGTACAGGAGAAAATGGGAGAATGCTGTGAGGAACATGCCAAGTGCATATTGGTATCCCAGTAAAATTACTGAAATTATCGTAAGAGTTTTGAAATACATTTTTTGTTTTATTTTGGTTTATATTCCATACAGGAACTTGGTATTGATGGCCACTAATTTGTGTGTTTTTATCTTTTTCCCTTTTTTGTTGTTTTTTGTTCTGTTTTGTTTCATTTCGTTTTGCATGCTGTCCCCTGTGTTGGAACTCTCTTTAGAGAGTAAGTTGGTTCAATATTTGTTGGAAACCTAACCTTACTTGCATGAATGTGCAATTAACCCTTTTTCTCTATTTTTCTTCCCCAAAGAGTTCATGCAGTGTCAAGCCTTTTGCAATCATAAAATGCTCTATACAATTATGTAAACTGTGTGGTTAAGTTTTGAGATGTGCTTTCTCTACTAATGAACTGACATTGTTTGGTTATGCATGTGGTGGTTGGCACATCTGAAATAATTCACTTTCAGGGTAGATCGTGTATAATTATTTTCATACCTGTTTATTTTTTTTTTCCACTATCAAATTATTAAAAACTTCAACTTCAGATGTTTGATTTCAGAATTTTAATTTACATCATAAAACTGGAAGCTGCAGACGTACACATACATTGTTAAACATGGTGGTTAAGTTCCATTTCCCATTCCAAATTCATCCTTTACCTGAGATGCTCTTACAGCCGCCTTGAATTCTTCATACTTTGCCCTAAACCAAACCGGTACGATTCGTACATTTCTTAAAATGCAACAAAATGGCTCAACTTAATTGAGTTTTCTCCAGACACTCACTGTGGTGAACCTAAAATCAAACAAAGCTTGAAAACGAAATTGAGTCTTCAGTTATGCGTCTTTTTAACAGTTAAAACATTGGCATGGAATCTCTAGAGTGCTTTTGCTGCAGTGATTCATAATTCACTTCATAATTATTTCAGTTTAAACCACTTACATGTTGAAAGTGTCATAAGAAGTCCCTATTACTTCATCAAGAGGTTGTAACCAGTTTGTCCAGCTTGCACATGTTAATGGACAGACGTGTGTTTCAGTGTTTGCAAACTCGGAGAAACCCTTGCAGTTATAACTTCTGCTGAGCTTACAGTTTACTTTGAAGGGTTTAAATACAATTGTAAAACCCCCAAGTGTAATTTACAGCACCAGAATTATTGTTGTTGTCTGACAAACTCCAATATCTTTTCTCCTTATATTAAGGCTGTGAAATCCAAAGACTTTCATGTCACAATATACAAAGTACTTTTTGGTTTGATTTTGCCTGGGTCTTATAATTGTGCCCACTACTTGTGCATCTACAAAGTGGGATATTGTTTCAGTTTTCAGATGAATACAGAAGACATTTCCAGTCCACAGCATAAGAGCTTCTTCCCACTACTGGGAGGGTAATTTTTAAACCTCACAACACGAACACAAATACAAACCTAGACAGTAGCAGAAGACTGAGCTGTATTTTGTTGTTGTTGTTGTTTTTCACAATTTTCAATGTACCTTGTCCCAAAAGGGAAGTTACTTAAAGTAGCTCATCCTGATGGGCTTTATGTTGAGTTGGTTTTGTATTGGTTTATTTCTAACACAGCTGTTCAGTATTTAGTATGTTTATTAAAAGATTCGCCATGGTCTTTATTAGATCCCAAAAGAAACATACAGTCCTAGGATATGAGGCTGGAAGGCACCTCTGGGATCATCTAATCCAGCCTTTCTTGGCAAAAAGAATCTGAATTATATTTTTATTTCTAATACAAATTTCGAGGCAGTTCTGTTAAAGGTACCTGTGTGGATTTTTTCACTTCATGGTGTGAATTTGCTCACCCTGGCTTGATTACCAACACGAGAAGAGATGTAATTCCCCAGTGATGGAGGCATGCAGCAGCATGCGCCAGCTCCTCCCTGCCTGGTCGGTGCTGTAGAAGGAAGCCAAGCCCCATGGGCTGGTTTCTGCAGCCGTACGAGGTCTCATTGCAATTGGGGATCATCCACTCACAGACAGCAGCAGAGTTTGGCCTTAGGACAAGGCAGGTCAGTGGCAGAAGGTGTGGGGTTCAGCCCTTCTTCTGCAGCAGCCTTTTCCAACCTTGTACCCATGTCATAAACACTCAGGAGGACAAAATCTCTCCAACCCTCTTAGCAATACTTCTGCTTCTGTACACACACAGCCATGTGCTGGAGCTGGAGTGAGTATCAGTTGTGAAGGCAGCATTTTCAGCCCAAACATCCATTTTTCTTGTCAGAGAAACAGGAAACCCACAGGCCACACGAGCATAGAGTATGTACATCACCACAGGCCTTGGAAAAATCATAAAATGAGTGAGATACTAGAAAGGCTGTTTCAGCAGTTACCTATTTGTCCTGCCCTGCTTTATCCTGTCCCTTCAAAAAGCCCTTCTTCCTGGTCTGAGTGCAGAGGTTATTAGAAGTACAACAGGGTTTTTCCTACTGAATATAGACTTTCCAACATTACTTGTATTTGTTATATACAACATTATTTGTTGAAAAGAACACAGGGGATAATATCTTTTTGAAAAGACGAAAACACTTCTGTATTTTAAACACCTGCCAGTCTGAAATGCATCGTGCTCTCTGGGGAGCAGTTTTGTGCTTGGATACCTGCAGTAGCGAGAATCTTGTCCAGTTCCACAGATATTTCACACAAAGGAACTGGCTAGCTTTCATGATTTTGCAGTATTTAGTAAGCCAGATATTTACAGTGAATATTTTGCTAAAGAATTATAGCAGCTTTTTTGGTTGTAGTGAGAAAGTGGTTTTGTGGTCTTCGAGGAATGTCAAATCAACTTAATGATAAAGCTTGAAAGGGTAAAAAATGAAGTTTTACTGAACAAACATTGAGGTTGCGCCAGCCATCACAGTAAGCATTTCTTTTCTTGACGAAACTGCATGGAATACCTAGTGGTCAAACTTCCACGGAAGTGGGCTAGTATCTCCAATGTACTCTCGTCTCAAAATCCAGTAGGGAAGCAAGACAGATTTCATTTTCTTTTCTTTTTCTTTTTTTCCTTTTCCTGCTTGGCTGCAAAACACTGCCTTTCTCTGCCTCTGATTCCCTTACTGCTTTCTTCTTTGTTTGTAAGTTCAGCATACGTCAGTGTCGTTTCCTCTTTTGCCCCATCCTACCCTCTTTCCATCTTCTTCTGCCTTTTAGGTGTTCAGTATGTTCTTGGAGACGCTGGTGGACTTCATCCAGGTCCATAAAGAAGATCTTCAGGACTGGTTGTTCGTGCTGCTAACACAGCTGTTGAAAAAGATGGGTGCTGATTTGCTTGGCTCTGTGCAAGCAAAAGTTCAGAAGGCACTCGATGTCACAAGGTAACGTGTTCTTATATAAAGAGTTAAAAAAAGATCCAGGCCCTCACACTGCTTTCAAGTTCTGGGGTGGTTGTTTTTTGGGGGGGGGTTGTGTGTGTGTGCTGTGAGATTCTCGGGAAAATGCAGAGTTAATACAAGACCTTGAAACTCCAGTGAACGTCACAGGTTTAGCATTTTGATTTCCTAAATGACTCTTTAGTTGAATCCTTAATGCTGGCCAATTGACATGATACTGCTCACCTGAGTCCAGATTGTGCCTCTGAGCCACGTTTGTTGTCTTGCCTTGTCCTCAGTGATGTAATGCTTGTGTTTGATTGTTTTGATACAAAAGTACTGCTGCAATATTCAGCTCTCAGTGTCAGCAGGCTTTGAAGGAATTACTGCAATCACGGATTTCCTTTCTGTCTTCACGGACTGTAGCAGTAGGACAAAGGGTAATGGCTTCAAACTTAAACAGGGGAGATTTAGGTTAGATGTTAGGCGGAAGCTTTTCCCTGGGAGGGTGCTGAGGCGCTGGCACAGGGTGCCCAGAGAAGCTGTGGCTGCCCCATCCCTGGCAGTGTTCAAGGCCAGGTTGGACACAGGGGCTTGGAGCAACCTGCTGTAGTGGAAGGTGTCCCTGCCCATGGCACGGGTTGGAACTAGATGATCTTAAGGTCGCTTCCAACCAAAACCGTTCTGTGATTCCCTCCCTTCTCCCCAAATGTTGTAAATAGCCTGATTACAAAATGATCTTAAGTGATTTTGGGGACCGTATATGCTGCCTAGCCAGTTTTATTTCCAAATGAAAGCTAGGGTTTAGAGTTGGAGGGGCTCTGGGACCTACTTCTCATCCTGTTCTCTGAAGTAGGGCACAGGCTAAGCTATTTGGGCCTCT